GAAGGATCGTTCTCATATACGTCTCATAACCGCAGTTCACACATATGTTTCATATGTTTGTTGTTGTTTGATTTATCATCTACGGGTTTATATAGAATTAATTTGATGGCCTGCTCCCAGTTGGCTTGTTAGCTCAATTGGTAGAGCGCTGCACTAGTATCGCAGAGGTCAGTGGTTCGAATCCCGTACAGGCCTGAAATTTTTTTCAGGTCTGATTTTCACTATTGCTCAAATAGTGCTTTACTGCGAAGGATCGTTCTCATATACGTCTCATAACCGCAGTTCACACATATGTTTCATATGTTTGTTGTTGTTTGATTTATCATCTACGGGTTTATATCGAATTAATTTGATGGCCTGCTCCCAGTTGGCTTGTTAGCTCAATTGGTAGAGCGCTGCACTAGTATCGCAGAGGTCAGTGGTTCGAATCCCGTACAGGCCTGAAATTTTTTTCAGGTCTGATTTTCACTATTGCTCAAATAGTGCTTTACTGCGAAGGATCGTTCTCATATACGTCTCATAACCGCAGTTCACACATATGTTTCATATGTTTGTTGTTGTTTGATTTATCATCTACGGGTTTATATCGAATTAATTTGATGGCCTGCTCCCAGTTGGCTTGTTAGCTCAATTGGTAGAGCGCTGCACTAGTATCGCAGAGGTCAGTGGTTCGAATCCCGTACAGGCCTGAAATTTTTTTCAGGTCTGATTTTCACTATTGCTCAAATAGTGCTTTACTGCGAAGGATCGTTCTCATATACGTCTCATAACCGCAGTTCACACATATGTTTCATATGTTTGTTGTTGTTTGATTTATCATCTACGGGTTTATATCGAATTAATTTGATGGCCTGCTCCCAGTTGGCTTGTTAGCTCAATTGGTAGAGCGCTGCACTAGTATCGCAGAGGTCAGTGGTTCGAATCCCGTACAGGCCTGAAATTTTTTTCAGGTCTGATTTTCACTATTGCTCAAATAGTGCTTTACTGCGAAGGATCGTTCTCATATACGTCTCATAACCGCAGTTCACACATATGTTTCATATGTTTGTTGTTGTTTGATTTATCATCTACGGGTTTATATCGAATTAATTTGATGGCCTGCTCCCAGTTGGCTTGTTAGCTCAATTGGTAGAGCGCTGCACTAGTATCGCAGAGGTCAGTGGTTCGAATCCCGTACAGGCCTGAAATTTTTTTCAGGTCTGATTTTCACTATTGCTCAAATAGTGCTTTACTGCGAAGGATCGTTCTCATATACGTCTCATAACCGCAGTTCACACATATGTTTCATATGTTTGTTGTTGTTTGATTTATCATCTACGGGTTTATATCGAATTAATTTGATGGCCTGCTCCCAGTTGGCTTGTTAGCTCAATTGGTAGAGCGCTGCACTAGTATCGCAGAGGTCAGTGGTTCGAATCCCGTACAGGCCTGAAATTTTTTTCAGGTCTGATTTTCACTATTGCTCAAATAGTGCTTTACTGCGAAGGATCGTTCTCATATACGTCTCATAACCGCAGTTCACACATATGTTTCATATGTTTGTTGTTGTTTGATTTATCATCTACGGGTTTATATCGAATTAATTTGATGGCCTGCTCCCAGTTGGCTTGTTAGCTCAATTGGTAGAGCGCTGCACTAGTATCGCAGAGGTCAGTGGTTCGAATCCCGTACAGGCCTGAAATTTTTTTCAGGTCTGATTTTCACTATTGCTCAAATAGTGCTTTACTGCGAAGGATCGTTCTCATATACGTCTCATAACCGCAGTTCACACATATGTTTCATATGTTTGTTGTTGTTTGATTTATCATCTACGGGTTTATATCGAATTAATTTGATGGCCTGCTCCCAGTTGGCTTGTTAGCTCAATTGGTAGAGCGCTGCACTAGTATCGCAGAGGTCAGTGGTTCGAATCCCGTACAGGCCTGAAATTTTTTTCAGGTCTGATTTTCACTATTGCTCAAATAGTGCTTTACTGCGAAGGATCGTGC